AAAGTAATCTTTTGTTGCCACAGTTGCAAGAGTGTTAGAAATGATCTATTTTTTCATGGGAGTCACTCCTTATTTTGTAAGAGTGGCAGGTAACCTTGTAAAAAATTAAACATATATATGTGTGTGTGTGTGAGAATAATTCATTTACAAATTTTTGCAAATTACATTATGTACCGCGGAAGTACATAGTGGAGTTTGTAAGAATTTGTAAACGAATAGTTTGTAAATATAACCCTCATCGTATATGTAGAAGTAGGATCCTTTGACACTTGTATCAAACTTTAAAATTTGACACTAAATTCTAATCGTTGATTTTCATCAATCAACGGTTATCATTTTCACCAATCAAATTTATTAATTCCAATAAATGATAACCGTTGATTGACGGAAATCAACGGTTAAGATTTGATGTCAAATTTTAATATTTGACACCGGTGTCAAAGGATCCCATATATCTCATTACACTACTAGAAAAAATTTGTATAGCGATGAAATTGCTATGAAAATTCCGTCACTAATTTCATCCTTACAACTATTTTTCATCACAAATTTCCTCACAAACGATTTATTGACTCTTAGTAAAAATGTAATTGTGCAATAGTTATACATTTCAATATTCATATAAAATCTTTCTGCGATTACTGATAAGTAAAACTACTCTATTTCAAGCGACACTTTAATAATGAAATCAGAAAACTGTCCATACCATTCTTTCTTGTCATCGAGCTATACACGAGGCGAGTTGAGAGAGAGAGAGGGGGAAGAAGAGAAAGAAAGTCCCACTTGTGAGTTTTGTGACAAGCTGTAACAACTTATTTTTTATTTCCTTTTTAAAGATTTCGAAGGTGACTTTATTTGTGAAATTAATTTCTGTCTGGAGGTCAACTTCATCCAACATAACGTATGTGGGAGATTGGGAAGGGAAGGGAAGACTTCTGATGAAAGCGAATGGACAAGAATAGAAGCAATCAAGGAATATTATTAAGTGAATAAATAAAAATCCTCAAACCCCATGTAGCAACTAATTACTATATTATCTAGTATTACTAGTAACTCTGTCCAAGAAATGCAGAAAAATACTACATAGAAAACATCTCAAGTGGAAGATTCAATTTGCGTCGAGCAAACCATAAAGTACATCATTCCGTTCGCCAAATTTTACAATCCGTACGCGGTTCTTTCTTTTCTATTTCCATATACGCTGATAATACATAGATAGAATAAAGCGCCACAACAAGCGATGTGCTTTCAAATTCCGAAACCCACACGGGCAGCTGTGAACAGATATCAAGAAGTATGCTGGTATTCACTTCCTTTGAAGTTCAGAACACCAATGCCATCTTTTATTTATTTTTTATTATATTTCCTTTTTGTTACTGCCACATTATAAATTTAAAAAAAATAATAGTAATTATTTATAATATTAAACTCTTAATGTGTTCTTCACTTGACACTTCATATGATATTAGAGTCTCTGTAATCACGTGATTATATATTTTTGTCCATTCTTCAATGTAATAATAATGTGTATTAGATAAATATAATATAAAATTATTAAAATGATTTTCACAGCTTCTTTTGAGTTAAAATGAACTTTACACATTTATATATGTTAATTCAAGTTGAGTATTGTTTATAAATTTTGGCCCTTCAGGACGGTTGCATTTGAGAATTTTCTAAGTAGCATCAATAGTAACATGAGTCGCATGCACACTACTCCAACTTCATTGTTGGTTAATTCTATGCCTCAAAAACTGAAACGAGAAGAAGATGCATCCTTTAATGAGGGCAAAGGCAAATGTGCATCTCAGAGATCTCAAGGTCGCACGAACGTCTATCCTGTTAAACGACCATGTGCCCTCCCCAAAATGCCTGAAAGCCCAATAATCAATGAATAAATATAGCTCTTTCATTTAGTGTTGATATGAACTAAGTAAAAGAAAGCCATTAGGATTAACTTAATAGTGAGGAGTGTGAGTAATTGTGTTAGGTGGCGTTTGTTCTAATCTTTTCTTATGTATATATAAAAAAAAAAAACTAAGTAAAAGAGTGACTTAATTTATAGAAGGCTCGAGCTCCCAAGTGCTCTATTTATTGCTGCTTACTAAATTATCCCGAGAATATATTATGAAGTATTATATAAAAGTTAGAGTAAATATCTTTTTTAGTCTCTAGCAAAAAACACAGTCCCCACTTTAGTCCTTTACAAAAATAAATTAGTCAATTAGTTCCTAACAAATTCAAAAGTGGACTCATTTAGTTGAAATCGTGGTCCCTCACAAATTCAAAAAAGACCCATATTAGTCCCTCAAAAGAACTAAAATGGGTCTACCTTGAATTTGTTAAGGACTAACTAACTAATTTATTTTTGTAAGGAACTAAAGTGGCGACCGTGTTTTTTGTTAGGGATCAAAAAGGATCTTTACTCTAAAAGTTATATAGACTGTACTTGAAAATAAATAAGAGAATAAAGTAACTCAGTTATATCAAGTGAAAATAAGATTATGTAGAAATTAACACTTTAAGGAAAAATTTGAAGATGGTTCCTGTTATGAATGTGGGGGGAATTATTACGGACCTGACAAAGACTCACATTCTAGAAGATTCAATAAAGGGCAGTATAAAAGGAAAGTCATCCAAATAATGGATTTTTTTAATATGCTCCCAGTGCATAATTTTTTTGAGTGCTCCTTTTCTAAAAAAGGAAAAATTCTCTTCTATTTATATCCCTCTCTTCTTTTTAAATTTCCTCTGAGTCATTTTTTCCTCCAATTTTTAGATAAGGCCCACCAAGTCCGGGATTATAAAAATGAGCTCCCAAATAAGGAAGAGAATTCTCTATTAATAACAATGTTATCCAAACAACTAAGCAATTGAACTTGTGTCCCGGATATTACTAAGAAACCCAAAAATACACCTCTACGACTACGAGGTAATCCATCTATAAATAAATGGTTAAGCCAATAGGATACACAGACTCTAAACCCTTTTTCTTAGCTGTCATTGTATACACACCTCACCCTTTTGCTATGTCATATGTTATAGTGTGGCATAGTGATCAGCCTACCTTCAAAAACATCTCCTACTTAAATACCTGAGAAAGAGCATCTAGATCCAACAAAAACATTATTAATCTCTGATTACAACCAATTGTCCTTTTAAAAATAACCCTCTATTACAACCAATTGTCCCAATGGCAATAAATAATGGGAAAAGTGTGTATAATTTTAAAGGATGTAAAGTTGTGTCATTTTAAGAGAGAGAAAGAGAGAGATAAAGGAGGAGAGAGAGTTGACAAAAAAATATAAAGGTGTGGGTCCCACCTCTTTGTGAGAGTGAAAGGATGTAAGTTGTGTAATTTCAAATGATAGACACTTTTCCCATAAATAATATATCTCCGTCTTTGTCTTCCTTTTTGACTGTCATCTTTGTCTGTCTCCCTCATTGTCTTCGTCTCTCGTTCCAAGTTTGATGTGTGCCATTTGTATGTCTCAGCCACCCGAAGCCTCTCTAACGGCCTCGCCTGAGTTTAGGGATTTCGTTTCGCGTTGTTTGCAGATAGATCCATCTTGTAGGTGGAGCGCTTTAAAGTTGCTGAATCACCCTTTTATAGCTCAGGGGATTCCTCACCATAACTAGGTTCCTCACAACCTTCATCAACTGCTACCTCCTCCCCCCAGGCCACTCTCTTCATACTTTGCTCAAGTGTGAGGCGTAATCTCGTCACCGTTTTGTACCACTTGATAAACTTATCCGGTTTTCAGACAAATACTACCTTCCTAGTTGCTTTCTGAAATAGTGTTTTTGTTGCTTTTAACATGAAATTGCCGATAGCTAAGCAATTGGCATTGATGAGTAAAATTCATAAAATCAGTGAACCAAACGTGGAGAATTGACAATGTCAGAATCACTTTGTTGGGAAACAATGCAAAACTCCTGAACCAAACACCCCCTTACGATTAACTTAATAGTGAGGAGTGTGAGTAATTGTGTTAGGTGATGTGTGTTATAGTTTTTTCTTATGTATAAAAAAAAACTAAGTAAAAGAGTGACTTAATTTATAGAAGACTCGAGCTCCCAAGTGCTCTATTTATTGCTGCTTACTAAATTATCCCGAGAATATATTATGAAGTATTATATAAAAGTTATGTATAGACGGTACATCCATTTGAAAATAAATAAGAGAATAAAGTAACTCGGTTACATCAAGTGAAAATAAGATTCTGTAGAAATTAACACTTTAAGGACAAATTTGAAGATGGTTCCTATTATGAACGTGGGAGAAATTGTTATGGAATGAAAAAGGCTCACATTCTAGAAGATCCGATAAAGGACAGCATAAAAGAAAAGTCGTCTAAATAAGAGATTTTTTTAATATGCTCCACGTGCATAATTTTTTTGGGTGCTCCTTTTCTAAAAAAGGAAAAATTCTCTTCCATTTATATTCCTCTTTTCTTTTTAAAATCTCTCTCAGTCCTTTTTTCCTCCTATTTTTAGATAAGGTCCATCAAGTCCGGGACCATAAAAAATGAGCTCCCAAGTATGGAAGAGAATCCTCTATTAATAATGATATTATCCAAACAGCTAAGCACTTAGACTTGTGCCCCGAATATTACTAAGAAGCCCAAAAATACATCCCTACGATGTAACCCATCTATAAATAAATTTTAATTTAATAAGGTACATAGACTCTAAATTCTTTTTTTTAGCTGTTATTGTACACACACCTCATCCTTTCGCTACATTATATGTTATAATGTGGCACAATGATCAATCTACCTTTAAAGATATCTCTTCCATAAATACATGAGGAATCCAACAGAAACATTATTAATCTCTGATTCGGACATCTTTGTCACCACTACATAACAGTTCCAATATGCAAATAGATGGTTTGACTGCTAGGAACGCACGCTGGCTGCTTACCTACTTACTGGGACTATCTTTTTAATCGCCAAATGTTAATCACCTTAACAAGATCTTTCTTTAAAGAGGGAAAAAAAATAGTTATAATACTTAGTGGATTACTTAGTGAGAAAACAAAAGGACAGGAAATCAAAGACAAAATAGCATTCACCCTATTTGTATTAGAACATGACACCCGTTACTAACAAAGGATGATAATCACCATACATATAACCAAACTATCTACTTAGCACTCAATAACATGAAATAAAATAAAAGAAACCAAACATTTAAGTAAGACACAAACTTCAGAAACACTGAACAAGATTATCCTCAAGGAAATGTGTGATCACTTATGCCAGTTTCTTGCCACTCATCATCATCCTCATAAACTCGTTCAAGTCTATAAAACCATCTCCATTACCATCCACCCCCTTCACCATTTTTTTGCAAGCGCTAAGGCTGCAACTCTCTCCTAGCCTTTTCAGAACTTGGGACAATTCCTCAGCACTAATTTTCCCATCACCGTTCAAATCGAATACTTGAAAAGCACTCTTAATCTCATTTTCTTTTATCCTACTCTCTCCATTGAAGATTTCCATGAACTCTTTAAATTCAATTAACCCATCTCCGTTAGAGTCCATGGCTTTAAATGCCTTGACTGCCTCAGAGTCCCCAATTCCCCTATCCAAGGCCCTCACAGCTGCCTTGTACTCTTCAAGGGAAATATTACCATCTTTGTTTGTGTCAAATTTCTCAAACACCCATTTCATTTCATCTTCTTTTGGCTGGAAACTCAATCCTGTACTCGATGATGTCTGTCTTGACTTGAAGCTGTTCTTCTGCTGTATATTTTTGCGTGGAGAAGTGGGCTTACTTGTGAAACTATACTGAAACTTGAGGAGACTCAAATTCGACATGGTGTATTTTTGGGACTTTGATACAGAAGAAGATACACACAAATATTTGGCTTCAGTTCAGTATGATTATATTTAATGCTACAAAGATTATGGCTTTCTTATATAGATAAGCTTTCCTCCTTTGGATTCCCTCACGGCTCAATATACGTGGGCCGTTTGGTACACGGATTTTTTCGAATTTCCGGAAAACTGAAATTTTTAAAATGTTAAATTTTCAGATATTATCGTAAACTGAAGGTAAAAATCATATTTTTAAAAATCGAGATTCCCGGACAAATAAAAATTTCTCCTGTACCAAACGCCCCAAAAACCATAGAATCTCAATAAAGACACATTCTCATGTCCTTAGTTTAAACTAAAGTTGAGCATATGTTCATCCTATATTCTTACGCGTTGTGACTGAGTAGCTTCTCATTCAAGGTGTTTATTGATGAACATTAGTTGGTAAAATTCGAATAGTTCTCTTGGTGAAAGGGATTGATCAAAGGTCTACTTAACATGACGAGTAAAAACATGTTCTGTGTGGTTTACGTTGAAATGCATATACATTGGACGATTCCTTTCGATTTTTTTGTAAAACCGTGTATTCACCACCACACCCTACTCAGAGTAGAATCCAATTCTTATGTCACTTGCCCATTGCCGTGCATGCACGATGCATCGTTCGGTTTTTTGTCCTGACAAGGGACGCAATCTCCGCTCTTAAATTACTACAAATTTTAGTATTACACTACACATTTATTTTAATATTTTCTATTATTGTTAGGTGAATTTTATGTGAGTCTCATTGAACAATAAAAATTCCCTTTATTCAGTCAAATATATAATGGTATATGAAATTCAATATAATAAAGAATATGTTAAAAATAATACTAGTTTATATGTATTCATATATGGAGCTTGAAGCTATTGGTGTTTGAAATATGATATGCAGATGAGAGTTATTTGACAAATAGGTATTTGTTTTGGACACCAAAGTAGATTGGATTTCAGGCTGAAGGACCTGCCTGACTTTATAAGGACAACAAATCCAAATGATTTGATGTTGGAATTTCTGATTGAAATGGCAGGTAGAGTTCATAAAACCTCTCCTATTGTTTTCAATAATTCATATGAACTTGAGAGTGAGGTAATGAATGCTCTCTCCTCTATGTTCCCTTCTCTTTACACCATTGGCCCTTTCTCTTCATTTTTGAATCAAAGTCCACAGAACCACTTGGCATCTCTAGGTTCCAATCTTTTGGAAAGAAGATAGTGAATGTCATGAATGGCTTGAATCCAAGGAACCAAGGTCTGTCATTTATGTGAATTTTGGCAGCATCACAGTTATGTTTCAAGAGCAACTCCTTGAGTTTGCTTGGGGTTTAGCCAATATAGCAAGAAACCTTTTTTGTGGATCATTAGGCGTGACCTTGTCATTGGTGGCTCTGTGGTTTTGTCATCTGAGTTTGTCAATGAAACAAGTTGGTTTCAACAACAGCAAGTGCGGAACCGTCCTTCGATTGGTGGATTCTTGACTCAATGTGAATGGAACTCAACCACTGAAAGCTTGTGTGCAGGAGTGCCAATTTTGTGTTGGCCATTTTTTGTTGATCAACCAACAAATTGTAGATATATTTGCAATGAATGGGATGTTGAGATTGAAATGGATACCAATGTGAAGAGAGAGGAGGTGGAGAAGATGGTAAATGGAACTAAAGAATAAGGAATAGGAGGACTCTAGGCCTGGTGGTGGTTCATACATCAACTCGGACAAAGTGACGAAGGAGGTTTTGCTTAAACAAAATTAGACTAAACTGATAATTCATATATTTTCTCCTCTTGAATTTGTTGCATTGTGAAGCAAAAATGAAACATCAATTAGAAGTGCTAGTCTTGTTCAAAAACATAAGATATCAACCGCGTTGTATTTTTCCCTTTGTTCTGTTTCAATACCTTAGAAAATTTGTTTCCACAAAAAATAGCTGATCAAAATCCTGAAAATAAGCACAAAGTAACCCAAATAAAAATATCAGATAAAATAACTGAAAAATGGTAATGAAAAAGAGAAAAATAAAAACAAAGATGACAGACATAATATAAACTCAATTTATTTCCACAAAATCACCATAAATACCAACGACTAAGAGTCTAGTATTTGACTGATAATAATTTTGATCACTTGCATAATAGAGTATATATCCTAGTTAAGCTAAGCTGACAAGGGAACTATACTTTCCACATACTTATCAATTCGAGGAAAATCAAATACTTCAACTTGAAATTGGTGCACTGGCTGAGCATCCAAATTATATATTGTCAACTGTTGTTTACCTTGATCGTCCTTTCCTCCAAGTAGTTGATTAGCATCCTTCCATACGCCAAAGATAATAATCTTCCCTGGCCAAACAATGCTGTGTGTTTTAGTCCATTTGTGTTCATTCATAACCCAAATCTCCAACAGTTCTTGAGTACGATATTGTACAATATAACCAATGGAACCATTAACCTCAACAATGTTATCCTTGGCCAACAAACTTTCTCTATTTGAGAGATCTACTGGAGCCATGAGTTTGCTAAATTGATTCTTGTGGAAGTCAAAGCAAAGGATGTAACCAAAACCATCTTCATAGCCAATCAACCAATGATAAACACACCATTAACAAGAACATAAGACCTACAAACGGGTTGTTCTGGAAAATTATTGATAGGAGAGAGAGTAACATCATGGATAACAGTCCATGAATTGGTACTAAGATTATAAATCTCCGCAAATGTAATAACTGGATGATGCATGTCATCAATATTGATGGTTGGTTTGATAATTTTTGTTATGGCATATTTCCACGTCTTAACCACCTACCCAAGGATCCCTTAAAGGATAATTCTCCAATTATCCTAACAATATAAAACAGTAAGGCAGCTAAGGATAGAGTCTCTATCCCAACAGAAAGGAAGTTAAATCCTACTACAACTGGGAGATCTACACAAGCCCAAGAGGTAACCCTTATAAATAAGAGGCTAAAGACCCCAAGTATACAGTCTGAACTCATTTACTAATTCTGCCCACACTGTGCACACACCCATCTCGGCTGTAAGCCTATTGCTTGCGTGCAGTGATGGGGATATTGGCTATAAGCCAACCAAGATACCTATCCATAGCTCGGCCTCTGCCTTGAGCTCAGCCCAATGAAGGGCTTCAAGTTTAATAGCTCGGCCTCTGCCTTGAGCTCCAACTCAGCCCAACTAAGGGCTTCAAATTTATTAGCTCGGCCTCGGCTTTGAGCTCAGCCCAACGAAGGGCTTCAAGTTTAATAGCTCGGCATCGGCCTTGAGCTTCAAATTTATTAGCTCGGCCTCGGCCTTGAGCTCAGCCCAATGAAGGGCTTCAAATTTATTAACTCGGTTTGACCATGAGCCCAGCCCAACAAAGGGCTTCAAGTTTAAAAGCTCGGTATCAGCCTCGAGCTCAACACAATGAAGGGCTTCAACTTTAATAGCTCGGCCTGCCTTGAGCTCAGCCCAACAAAGGGCTTCAAGTTTAAAAGCTCGGCATCAGCCTCGAGCTCAGCCCAATGAAGGGCTTCAACTTTAATAGCTCAGTCTCGGCCTTGAGCTCAGCCCAACAAAGGGCTTCAAGTTTAAAAGCTCGACATCAGCCTCGAGCTCAACCCAGTGAAGGGCTTCAACTTTAATCGGCCTCGGCCTTGAGCTCAAACTCAGCCCAGCTAAGAGCTTCAAATTTAACAACTAAGCTAAGTTAAGAGCTTCAAATTTATTAGCTCGGCCTCGACCTTGAGCTCCAACTCAGCCCAGTGAAGGGCTTCAAATTTATTAGTTTGGCCTCAGCCTTGAGCTCAGCCCAATGAAGGGCTTCAAGTTTAATAGCTCGGCTTCTGCCTTGAGCTCCAACTCAGCCCAACTAAGGGCTTCAAATTTATTAGCTCGGCCTCGGTCTTGAGCTCAGCCCAACGAAGGGCTTCAAGTTTAATAGCTCGATTCAGCCTTGAGCTCCAACTCAGTCCAGTGAAGGGCTTCAAATTTATTAGCTCGGCCTCGGCCTTGAGCTCAGCCTAAATAAGGGCTTCAAGTTTAATAGCTCGGCCTCGACCTTGAGCTCCAACTCAGCCCAATGAAGGGTTCAAGTTAAAGCTCGGCCTCGGCCTTGAGCTCAGCCCAAGTTTAATAGCTCGGCCTTGAGCTCCAACTCAGTCCAGTGAATGGCTTCAAAATTGTGAAACGAACTCTAGAGAGGGTTTATTTGGTTAAGTGGGTAAATCCTATTTAATTTATTTTGAAAAATAAAATAAGAAACAAATCAAATTTGTCAATCCTTAATAAATTAATAAAATCCGACATGCTAATATTTCCTTATCTGCAACGGATTCATTTCTATTTTTTTATTTTATTTTGTTTTTGGTGTTGATTGATTTTATCTTAATATTGGATAGATTGTGTCAAGTTAATGGATTATCATTTATAATCCAATTTACTTGCCAAATATACATGACGGTTAAACAGATTTATTCAAGGATTCGCTAGCTCTAATAAAAAAATGCTAAAATATTAGATTGTTTGTAACAGCAGATTCCGTACTTTTTTTTCTTTTTATTTTTTTTGGGGGGGAGGGGGGAGTTTGGAATTACATGTATTTCAAAATTTTATAATCTAAATTAAGAAATTATATAATGAAATAAAAATATTCATAATATATAAATTATATTACATAAATCACAATATAATATAAATATAAATATTCAAATCAATTGGATTGATTACAAAATAAAATAAATGTTATTTGTTATATATTTATATTTATATTTAAATAGGCATCAAATATTTTTAAGATTGATTAAAAAATAAATTAAATTTTATCATGTTTAAATTTACTTTGTATCCAATTTTTAAATTCTAATTCTATTCTTCTTAACTTGTTTATTTATTATATATTGATATTCAGGTACGATTCGAATCTATTTGATATTCGGACATGGTCAAAAGATATTTTTGTAACAAAATTATAACTTAAAATACATTAATAAAATTATAATTTTCAAAAAATTAAAATACATTTGATAAAGAGTATTAAAGACTTGGTTTATATACATATCAACAATCAAATCATATAAAAAAGAGTCCAGAATATGCATATCGAACATTGGTGGAGATACATTTGAAGATGTTAAAATTTTTGAAGTTGCTACTTTTCTATTTGATGAGCCCGAGGTGGAATCAAGTGTTATTCTAAATGAAAATATTCAATGAATGTAGTCTACATGAATTATGATTTTTTATGGATATTATATTATTTTTACTTTATATTAATGTTATGAAATTATGAAAATGATTTTTTTTAATCCTTTTTGGTTAAATTAATGGATATTATCATTTTTATTTTATTTTTTGTTAAATTATTAAATATAATATTATATATATTAAAAATATCATTTAATATTAAAACATATCCCAACCTATCAATCGCGGGCTTTTTGACCCTTATAACCTTTTATTAATAATTAATTACCAAATTGACCTTCATTATAAACTATTTCAAAAATTTAACCTCCTTCAAACACATAACACCAATCTGCCCCTGTTTGACCGTTGACCACCAAGCCTACCCGGGTACACTCCTCCCTATTCGGGTATTTTTTGAAAATTTATGCATACCCGGGTAGAGAGGAGTGTACCCGGGTAAATTTCTTGATATCTGGAAAATTGCTTGAATTATTTACCCGGGTATGTAGGGGTGTACCGGGTAAACTATGTTATATAAGAATCTGAGAAAAATAAATACAGCAACAATTAATAATCAACATAGGTAGTTGATCAATTTGAGTGGTTGATGATTCTCCTATTCCCAGTGTTCAGTCCCTCCACTTTTTGCTTCAACTCCTCCTTATATGCATCTTCTTCTTTCTCGCTGGATTCTTTGGTTCCAGTCTCTTCTTTCACTCTCAGGTTTTCCTTCTCAATCATAATTACATTCTTCAATATTTTAAGCTTGTTTTTCTTAGATTTTGTTTTGTTTTGTTGGAAAAATATTTGAAGTGAGAGATCGCTGAGAATTTGCAGAAGATGAATATGATCTGAGCTTGAGGCCGAGGATGAAGGCAAGTTTGCTTGAAAAATCGATGAAGGAAGAAGACGGAGTACCGTTTGTGATTTCTTTTCCGGTTTGACATAATGCAATGTTTATGAAATTAGTTGGTTGGATAATTGATTTCGGTGAATTTACTATGTTAATATTTTGATTTCATAGCCGTTTATGAAAAGGATCACAATGCTCAAATATTATTTCATTGTTTTTAGATAGGATCAGTGTTAAGCAATTTTTTCAAAATAATTCAAGCAATTTATTATTTACCGGGTACACCCTTACCCACCCGGGTAAATAATTCAAACATTTTTCCGATGTCAAGAAATTTATCCGGGTACACCCCTCTCTACCCGGGTAGGCATAAATTTTCAAAAAATACCCGAGTAGGGAGGAGTATACCCGGGTAGACTTGGTGGTCAACGGTCAAACAGGGGCAGATCGGTGTTATATTTTTTGAAGAGGTTAAATTTTTGAAATAGTTTATAATGAAGGTCAATTTGTTAATTAATTATTAATAAAAGATTACAACGGTAAAAAAGCCATCAATCGCTCCATAGCTTCATTATTTTCTTCGCTGCTTATATTTTCTCAGTCTATCAACTCTGGCCCTATCTGTTTGCAGCCTTGCACCTTCCATTCCGCTCTAGCCGACACTATCACCATCACAACAGCAAACACTATCTGGCAGTCAATAAACCCGTTCAAAGGCCCAATAAGCCCGATTCCAAAACAGAGTGCATCAAAAACAGCAATGGGCAATCCCACACCATAAAAAGAGACAAAGTTTATGTTGACATCCATTAAGTAGGCCTGGCACTCACCCTTTACACACTATAGATTGATGCCTGGGGACAGTTTCTCTTGTGGCAATTGGCAAAGCCCAACTACAGGCAAGGATTAAGCTATATTGGGACCAGGAAGAGAGGAATCATGTGTAAAAAGGGAAGATTTATCCCATTTTGAGGGTGTAGGAGACGGGCCTCGATATTGGGCCTGGAAGGCCGTTCCATAACAATGCCAAAGAATTAAAAGCTGTCAACTTCTTTACATGAAGATGAACAATAATGCCCCAAAAATTAGGTTCCATTTTGCATTTTTGGTCGGGTATACAAACTCTCACTGATGTATGCACATGCGGTTGCTGACGATCTGGCATACACGTGCCTCGTAGGGAAATATGCCTTGCATGACCAATGCGGGAAAGAAACAATATGCTGCTGTTATACTAAAAAATATCTGATATACGAGCTTTTTAATGATCTGCGTGATTCATACTTTCAGTGGTTTACCAATAACTTGTTTGCTCTGTATTTGGTTCTAGTCAAACAGGACACTTTTGCAACACAATCCCAAAATGTGTTTATTTTTTCAAGAGGATGTATGCTGCTCTCCCTCCATATTTTTGGTTTCAAAAGCAAATTCGTCTCACGTAATAAGTTATAACATTAAGGATTTTTTTCCATATCGAAGAGTTTTTTCTCATTAAAAGTATAAGACAAAAAATTATGATTAATTAGGACAGGTAAAAGTTTTAGAACTTGTTATCAAAAAAAAAAAAAAATTTTAGAACTTCATATTATACACAATTCTGAATGAAATTTATAAAAAATAACAAAAATTTGTGCATTTATATTAAAATGTTGAAAATCTCGCATAATAGGACTAAAATAGTTTTCAATTAAAAAAATTAAGAATTTGGGTAGAAACATGGCTTACGAACAAACACACGTGCATTTTAGGCGAAAGGATGAAAGAATAATAAAAAAACACAACATATACGTGTATTGAATATTCAATGTTACTCAATTCACTTGTTATGTTTACCCTATACACGTCTAAGCCGTAAAATATAACTTTTGAAAGAATCATTAAATTCAACAATTACACGTTCCTATGCTTAAGTCTAAATAACTTTTTTTTGTCGTATTACCTTTTTCTTTTCTTCTTAGTCCCACATCACGAGTAAAAGATAATTGAGTTTTTTTTTCCCAGCGGAAAGAAAAATAGAACCTTTTGTCAATGATGGAATTGAAAACAAAATGAAAGGAAAATTCAGTTACTCTCTTTTGACAAATGTCGAAGTGACGGTAGCATACTTTCCCATGTTTTTCAGCATATACGTTCCAAGCCCGACACCGGCCTCCTGTTTTGCATTGGATGGATCAGGACTGTCAAGAGATCAGACCCCTCAAGCCAACCTATTTAAAAGTATAATTTAAGCGAGTTGGAGTTCATGTTAATAATCCATATGGAAATGAATCTTCTCGTCCTTTGCATGGTTAACATTCTTCCATGTGACATGCCCAAAAAAACCTTGGTGCTAATCCTTTCCCAACCCTAACACAGTCACGCCGCATATAAAGCCGCAGATTTCAGGGAACTTTATGCTACAAAATCCCAAGTGCTTGGCAAATCGTACCAGATAAGTGCCAAATTTCAGGACATTTTACCTTAAAACTTTTCCTTGATATAGTTTTAATGTCAATGATAGTGCCCACGCTGAAATACCTATAGCACAAATTCTGCCTGTTATAAATGCTTAGTTGAAAAGTTCCCTTGTCTTTTAAATTTTATCATCTTAGCATTCCACCTCATTTTTAAATTTCTCCCAAAAAGTGTTGTTTCCATTAACCTTTTCTTTCAAAAAAGAAGATAAGTTTGGCTGTCAATTACTCTCGTGCCTCAAATACCCTTTCACAATTTTCAATAATATATGACTTACATTTTCAAAAAAGAAAAGGACAAGAAATTTGTCATTTCTACCAAATTTTCTATACTCCATTTTTTAGCAACCAATAGATTATGTAATCTAGCATAAAAATATACAAATGTAAAATAATAATTAAAAAGAAAGCTCAACAGTATATTTTCTTGTAGCAGTAAGTCAGTGACTACTCACAGAACATTCAAAGCAATGAGAGAGCTTCAAGTCTTAAGTGCAAGATCAAATTCTTTGCTTTCTTCATACAAGGACAGAGTAAATATCTTCATAAAATGTCAAGAATCTGCAATATGTTTAACGTATGTATCAATAAGAACAACGACGTTTATAATAACTGAAAAAAAAGGAAGACCAATATTAATTTAAAAAAAAAAGAAACAAAAGAGTGTTTCATCTAAAAATATATACGACCAACTTTCTTTTATATAATAAGAATAAACCTCAGCCAATTTACAGGGAGATGAATGCCATGTAATCCTGATACAGTCAAGCTCATCTGATAAAAGTTAGCAAGCAAACTTACTTGCATCGGCATCTCTTGCATGACAATACCGCTGCTTTCTTCAATACTTTTTAGAGTTACCACTTCCCCACCAACAACCATATTGATGACAAATCCATCTGCACGTTAAAGGAATCTTAGCATCAATGCAAGAATCCAAACTATCACTTAACAAAATTATAGAACTAGGCACCAAAGAAAGGACCAGCTGTCAAACAAGTTGCCATACGCCTCCCATATGTTTCCTGTGTGAAACACAAAAATGATTAGAAAAATAGAAAGAGAATCATTAGGGTGGAAGGAAGGCACAATATGGAATTATGGTTACACAGAGACACCACTTTCACAACACATAAACCACAAAAACACCATTTTTCGTCAATGCTGAAGATGGATGATTCTTGAGAAAGAAAAATCTAACTGGAGAACCAAATGTCAAGAATGTAAATGGAGCAGGTTCCTTCTCACTAACAAGTAGTAACTGCACGCGAAAGTAACCTTATACAACAAGATTGAAGATACCTTAGGGGCGTCCACCTATTCTATAAGAATTAATCTAGGGAACAAAAAACTATTGTCAGTCTCTAGTTCTTGCTGTCATATAAAAAGCCAACTTTTAAAATCACAGGAGCAAAAGAAACAGGAGCAAAATCACATCCAATTAAACCATGACTTGCGAGGATATAGGGATGAGGGAAATTCTTATATGCATCTTTATCCTTGTATTTTTACAAAGAGACATTTTTCTATATTCAAATCCATGACCTCTAAGTTACCCAGAGCAGCTTTATTCCAACCCTCTTTTTAGAAATAATATGATGAAAACAATAAAAAATAAGTTTGAAAAAGCCACTATATACCAGAGGATTTTTGCACTACGGTTGTAAGTATAGCACATACGAACGCAGACAGTCATGGTAAAATATCAACTACAGAAAGAAGAACCAGACCTTCTTTGCCGGTAACTCGTAATTAATCAGAAGATGACCATTCATGGGAGGCTCTCCAGAAGCAAGGAGAGGAAGGCATGCGTCTGTTACAATGACCATATGAGATCTCTCATCTTTCCCTGCATCATCCTCATTTCCTACTCCAGAATGATTAGTCTGGTTCCACTTTGTCGTCACTTGCCGAAATTTCTCTAAAATACAAGCACGTTCATCTTCAGCAAGGTCACTGTACTGACATATGCAAAACAAAACAAAAAAATCAACTACGATACAATACACTGAAAAAAAAAATTGAGTTGATATGATATCACATGAATTAGTAAGAAATTCAGTTGGTAGCTGATTGAATTGTGAAGAAATTGAAATTAGAGATTGAACTGAAGTAGAGAAGGTATAAAATGGTAAAATTACCAAAGCAGAAGAGGAAATGAAGGGGAGAGCGGAAAGAGAAGAGCAGAGAGAGTCAAGATCGTCGCGGCTGCTACAACACACCACAATTGGCAAGCATGGACGTCGACCCACTAAACCTAGTAGATCAACCACCGTTTGCTGCATTTCAACCAATAATCAAAATCTCTTATACAGTTTCAGTTTCACCAATCAAATATTATTATGATCTAATTATAAATAACAGATACCATTTTGAACTGAAGCCTGTCTACTGCGAGATAGAAATGGCGCGAGAGACTGAAAATTTATAAAAAATGAGAAGAAGAAAAAAAGAGAGAGAATAAGGTTAAAGAAGAGAAGTGGCGGTGGTGAAAATGAAAAGAAGAAGGAGAATGAAATGAATAGTACCCGGATTGTCCGGTTTGAAACGGCGGAGACGGAGCATCAATGGTATCGATGGCCATCCTCACTCGCCAAAACTACGCGCCCTCAACCTCTTTGGTGGTCAACTTCCCACGCCACCGCCAACCGCTCCCGGAATCCGATTCGGCTTGAAGTTAACTGAACGAGTCTCGATTCTCAAAATTAGGTTTGTGGTTACTTCTATTTCAATATCGGATTTAGGATCTACCACAACTTCGTTCATGGTGTCGTATTGGTCTTACTAGTAACTAGTAATAATAAGACACGTTTTCTAATTGATTTAGTTCAAAATTAACAAAATTCTATATATTAGTCTTATTTATAATATATTAAATTATTATTTTAATTGAACTTTACTTATAAACATCTTGAATATAGTGAAACAGCATCATTATATAGATTAGTGTAGATGTTAAATTTTTGTTGAAATTATAAAAAATGAGAAATTTGAATTAAATAAATAACATTATTAACCCTATTGGTAAAAGAGGTGAACCGATTTTGGGATTCATGTATAAATTAACACGATCATGAATATGTGTATCTATGATCCTAACGATATAGGTGAATCAATAAAAATAAAAATAAAATAAAAAATATTATAATAAAAAATTACATAATCATCACCATTATTTATTCATAGATGATTAAGATTTTTCGCATAACACCGATTTTGGATTTTTAGTGAAAAATATTGAATGAATACATACACTCAATATTGAATCTATTCCTTCAAATATATTGTTGTAAGCCAAAATACCTTCGAAGTTATAATGTAACTTATTTTACATATAATCTATGAGCCGGAGTTATATTTACAACTCAAATAATTTACAAATTCTTATAACCATATCTTAATCGTTGATTTTCACCATCATTTATTGTGAATTAATAATTAATTAATAAATTTGATTTGCGAAAATCTTAACCGTTAATTGACAAAAATTAACGGTTAAAATATAGTTGTAAACCAAAATAAGTTGTACCTTTGTGCGGTATAAAATTTAACTACCTTTGTGCGGTATAAAATTTAAAAAATGCTCTGCCCCACTGAACCAGACCTCTTGCGAGATAAGAAACGTAAAATAAATTAGTCAGAACACACCGAAATTTAGGCATACATAATGTTATTCATAAAATTTGTACAATAGCACGAAATTTTTTAGCTATCAACTCCACCTAGATACGACTAGTGACGGAAGCTAGTTCTGTTCATCATCTTGATGAAATCGTCTGCATTAACCTCTCCATCATCTGCACAATTTCAAACCAGAAAAAAAAATGAACTTTTAAGGTGTCCAAATATTATGTAGCTTAGTGTAGCCTTTTATAATTAAACTATAACCCTACTGCTAATGATTAAACCGGTGCAATGTCTAACAAATATACAAGTCAGAATTAACCACTAATTCTACAGTTAAAAAAGAATGGTAAATATTCTAGGGGGAAGGATATTGTGACAACCAAGTTGTGTTACTACCAAGTGACTACCAATTAATCTCACCGTTAGATCGATTATGTTGATCCAACGATTATATTTATTTCCATCTTTATATGTTCATGGTTTCCCAAATTTAATACTTTATATTTATTTCCACCTTTGTATGGTTATGATTTTCCATATTTAATGATTTCACTTTAAATATGGAAAACCATGACCATACAAAGATGGAAATAAATATAACCGTTGGATCAACATAATCGATCTAACGGGGAGATTAATTGGTAGACACTTGGTAGTGACACAACTTAGTTGTCACAATATACTTCCCCGTATTCTAGTGCTACTTTACTATTTATTTTGCAGAATTTATCATTCTACGAACAAGACCATGTAATACATTGACCTCCCCTGATAATTTTGAATTCTATGCAAAAAAAAAAAAAACTCCGATTTCAAAAACTACATTGAAAAATCTCCTATTACAAATTTTCATTAAGAAAATACTCCCATATAATTTTTCCAAACATAAATAACACTTTGCAACAAAAAAATTTGGTAAACCTCCGGAGGTTAGTGTAATTTAAGAAAAATGATAAACTACTTATTTCCCACATGTTGGCTTTGCTAACAAAAAAAACAATTATGGAAAAGCAAATTCAACTGTGTGTCATACTAAAATATGACAAGTGGTACATGTAATTTTAATGTAGAAAACCACCAATTAGAAGTTCAAATTAATTGTGATATTTTATAATATACGTAATCAAAAGCATACGCACCCCCTCCTGGTTTACCAGAGAAAACAAGTTCACAGTATGAGAAGCAAAAGTTTTCCTGTAAAATTAGAAAGTTGTCAAGGATATGATTGGGATAACTTACTATCATGGTCTGCTTCATCGACCATTTCCTGAATCTCTCTGTCAGTGAAATTTTGACCTAGCTCTTTTGCAATACGCTTGATGTCTGATGCAGATATTTTTCCCTGCATTGACCACAAACAATGAGAACAAGAAGAATGAGTATAAATGGTGTATAGCAGTGAAGAACTTCACATTTTTATCTTGATCAATAATACGGAAGGCTTTCATGAGCTCCTCCTTAGTGTCCCTTTCTCCTATTTTGGCTGTCATCATGTGCTCAAATTCATCATAATCAATTGATCCACTGCCATCCTTGTCCACATCTGCTATCATTTGATTAATTTGCTGAAATGCCATGGTGGATTATTGATTAGATATGCAAACATAACTCTAACAAAAAGAATGGCATCAGGGAATCCCAGACCACGTTGTTCTTAAACCATAACTATGCTAAATTTAGATTTGATTGCAAGCAGTTGACTTCCTATTTCTGACAAAGTTATTAAATGCGGATTGCAGCATGTCGCGGCCAACCCCGAAAAACGCTATAGTGCTATAGCGGGTTGCGGGTGCAGAAATAGCGGAATAGATATATGACAAAAATAATTACAAAAAAAAAAAAAAAATTAAAGGCAGATATAGCATAAGTGATAGACAGAGATGCAGATATACTAAAAAACCCTTCAAAAATTTTTGTTACACATTTAAATTTAAGACAAAATTGACATTTTGCCTTATGACAGCAATATGGCCGTGATTTGGCCGCAAATGCGATCGCAATGGCCGCTATTGCGTTCTAGTGCGGCACGGTGTGGTTTCTTGCAGCGAGGCACCGCAACGCTCGTATGGCGCAGCTTGCGGCGCTATTAACTACTATGATCTCTGAATACGTAACTAGACCAACAACCACATCTAATGTCAAAAACAATAAAATAGAGACTGATGGCTCCCTTCATCGTGACAAAGACTGGGAATTCTTTCCCTTGACTACAACCACATGAAGGAAACCATTGTAACTGAGAAAACTCCATTAATGTACCAGGATATAGATAATACCTCTTCTGTCATCTCAAATCCAAGGGCCCTGTCAAGATAATATTTATGTTATGAAAACTACATAGCCAGATAATATGACAAAACATTTTAAGATTATGAATGACAACCAAACCTCATGGCAACATTTAGCTCCTTGGCATCAATATTACCTAAAAGACATCAAAGCATTGAAAAATAAATAAATAAAAGAACTATTTGACTTAGTTTTATTTTGATACTAAAGTCCATATACAAAACCTGAGCCATCAGTGTCAAACAATTCAAAAGCTTCCTTGATCTCCTGCTTCTTCTGTTGGGTCAAATGATGGCGTCCCCTTGGTTTATTATTGTACCTCCTCGATTCCCCTCTATATAGAGATGACTGATAACCCAAAAGAGTGTTAATGATTTTTTTCATGATAATTCTCTCTTCTTCTTTTTAATTTTTTCAATCCTATTTTTATACATAAAATAAAAGGAACTCACTCACTTAGACAGATATCTAAAAAGAAGTAAAGATTTGCAAACAATCGTAAACGAAACAAAAAAAATATCATTCATCTGATCATGACTAAGGATCAATGATTTATTGGTTTCATTAAAAATAAAATTAAAAAATAACTCAACAACAAAGAGGGGCAACTTGATGTGATGAGACATTAGATTAGATTATGAATTTGATATAGAATAAACAAGGAGGTTATGTGAGAGAAGTACTAGATAGATTAACAGGTAGTTATCAAATTGAAAAGGGAATTGTTGAGAGAAAGCAAAGAATAGAAAGATTCATTCACAAACAAGACAAGAGGGGAACGTACCATCCTCGTCTGACCTAGGGCACCAACACGACCACAATTGAAACAAAGTCCGAGGATTCTCCTTTCCTCACTGCAACTTTCGACGAATCACTGTCGGCAATTGACGATGCGCGTTAAGTTCAATAGAACACGGTTCGGGCCATACAAGCTCTCGTGTTGCATTGACTATATGGCCCTCCAAACACAGTATCACTATTTTAAAAAGTCATAGGCCCAATTAAAAATAAGTAAAACGTTGGCCCAATCAGTATTTAATTTAAAAGTTTATATAAAATTAAAGGATTACTATATTTTTGTTTATTTAAAAAAATTATTTTAGAGGAATTATTTCGTTTGTCATCATTCATATTTTGCCAATATCGATTTTCACATTTACATTTTCATAAAATGCTTTATGGGTATATTTATCTCATTCAACATGAGATAAATCAAATTTCTATACACGTATAACAAAGATAGGTCCAACTTCTATTTGTTCTCTTTCCAATTATTTATAGGTCCCTCTTATAATTTTGTTTCACTGGCAGAAAATAACTCATCTCCAACAACATAAGAAACATATTTCTTATGCCTTATACTTTTTCTTTGCGAAACGGATTAAGCACCTCTAAGGACACAACATCGTATTGTAGATTGTGCTAAAAAAATTCAGATCCAAGATTTTTTTAATCTAACTTATGAGGTGTATTGGATTATGATTTTAAAAGACTATTTAGAATTTGAGAAACTTTTTAATAATTTCTATTTTATTTATTTTTATCTTTAACTTGTTATAATTAATTGTTTGTGGTCCCTATTAGTATATTACTCTTTCCTTGCGCCTATTTCGCCCTAGGAGGTTGGTTCACAGGTACAACATTTGTAACTTCATGGTATACTCATGGATTGGCAATGAGGTGTATTGGATTAGGATTTTAAAAGACTATTTAAAATTTGAGAAACTTTAAAGACTTTTTTAAAATATTTTTTTCACAATCAAGATTTCATAAGATTGGTTTTTAAAGGATTTTAATAGAATTTATAAGATTTGAAAGGACAATATGGATTTTTAAGATTTTAAAAAACCATATGAATTTTTAACAAACATTCAAAATTACAAAAGTCAATAAAAAAAGTTAACAAAGAAATGCAGTGATATTAATAAAAAAAAGTAAAACCTAATATAATTTTCTCAATAACTAAAACATAATATAACTTTTAACAAATATTCAAAATTACTAAACAACAGCTTTTCACATATCTAATGGGTTGAAAATTATCTTCTTCATTTGGTATCAAAGTTATGCATATATGATTATAAAACCCAATTTTTTTAATTATAAAAATAATTCTAAATTTGAATATAGAACCTAAAGTTCATGATAAAATTTCTTTTTAAAATTTTTGCAATTGATATTGAAAATCTTGGAGTTTTAGTTTTACGTGATGAGAGTTTTCTAACTATATATCATATGCATATTTTCATTGAATATTGTAAGAAAATTTTGGGTTTAATTACATGAAAGTTTAGAAAAGTTCTCAATTTTTTTCAATCGACACATTGAAACCTTAAATTGCTTTGGGGCTTTTGAGAAACAAGCTTTTAGTTATCTATTGACACAAAAATTGTTTGAAATCGTTTCCTATAGTGAATGAATTTCGTTCATGAATGTATTGTTACGAAATATAGGGTTCATATTATAAAAGTTTCAATCTTTCTTTAAATTGATATTGTTTCATTTATGTAAAACGAAAATTGGTTTGAGGTTTTAGTTCCCCTGTTATTTTTTCGTTGTTTTATGTTGTTTTTAATACAAAAATCACACGTTTTTGCCCCAAGAAAAACTGCAACCATAGCTTGAAAAATAACTTTTTAAACTTTCAAAATTTCTCAAAAATGGCTAAAAAATATTTTATTTTTGAGATAGATTATATTAAAATATCGTTGGTTTGTTATTTCTGGGTTGTTTTGTGATAAAAATTGCTCAAAAATTTATTTATTTTTTAGTTTTGACGAAACTCCCATGGCAGAATCCAATTTCTAGTCGTCAACCTGCCAAAGGAAGAAAACACTGCAATAGAAGAATCTCAAGAAATCTTAGGGGTTAGGGTGAGATTGTGAGAGAGGCGTCATATTTATATTTTTCACACAAAAGTCTCACAAAATCAACACCAATAGAAAATCCATTAAAATCGTCGAATTTTTGAATACCATGAAATTGTGATTACATTGTTTAAAATCCTGATTGAATACCATCGAATTTGAACGGATTTTAAAATAATATTTTAAAATCTTAATCGAATACCACATGACCTTTTTCAATCTATTAAAATCCTAATCGAATACCAAATGATTTTTTTGTCCAAAAAAATTCATTAAAATTCTTTGAAATCTCAATCCAATACACCCCCTTAGCTTGACACAAATTTAAGTTGGCCAGCCTCTAGCAAATCTTTTCAAATTTTTGTCATATATTAAAAAATAATAATATGGGACAATGAGCCTACTCGTGACGCCTAACCTGTGGCCAATAAAGGGCTGGTCTCGGGCCTGAGGCCTTCTTTCCAACCAAAAATTTGCTGGCCTGTGCTAGTATTTTGCTGGCACGTAGCACTTTTGGCCCAACATTAATATTGCTCAATTTGCTTGACTCACAAAAAACTGACCCAAGTAATCTGAATCAACCAGAATAAACACCTCGAGACATAGGCATGTTTGAAATTTGTTTTTAAAAATAGTTTTTAATATTAAGAAAAAAATAAAAAAAATCTTTTTGATAAGATCTGTTTTGTAAAAATAATTTAAAAATTATATCTATTTTTTTTTAGAATCAAATTTAGAGAATATATTTGAGTTGTTTTTATTTTGTGATTTGACTTTTTACTTTCAAAACATAAAATAATACTTATTTTATTAACTATTCTATAAAATAATTTTAAAAAAAAATTCAGAACAAACATATACATAATTCCCAAAGCATATGTTTTCTCAGGTGTTACCGAAGTGGTTCTGTTACTAGTCCAAGGTTTGCAGTAGGTGGTCCACAATGGAGGGGAACTTGCAAAGCAGAGAAGAAATTCTCCGGCTCTAAAGTGAGTACCAGATTTGGTACTTTTTGGTACAAGGAATTAAACATTACTCAATGATGAAACATATTTGGATATTTATTGGGGAAAGGGGTGGTCTCCCTACTTAGAGGTTTAGATTCATCGTGATTGCTAATAGTCATATTAGCTTGTCTGCTTGTATCCATGCGATTCTGCTGTATTGTTCTGTCTTTGTCTATTTACGTTGGATTTCTCCCATGTCTAACCAGGGAACTAGTATTGCAAGCATCTAAAAAGGCCACTGAATGGGTCTGAAAGCAATGTTGGGTTGGCAGAGTGAGACAGAGACTTGGACTTCCTGTGGTCTTTGTACTAATGGGAGTAGCATTAGTATTTGTGATTTCTGAATGTGATATCAACAAGGTACAACATACAAAGAACTAACTGTAAAAAAATAAAAAAAATATATATAAAAAAACTTTTGGAAATATTAGAACGATGTGGCTATAAATAATTAAGTGATGTTATGAATAAATTGTAACAATTCATTATATATCATTAGATTAATTTGGTGTATAACATTATATTAATATTTTAAGGGTTTAACTTTTCTACATTTGCTGCTGTAAAAAAGTTATCCGTCACTCTCACAAATAAAGTAGTGGATCTTATGCAATAGAGTTCATTTAAAAAAAATTGCCTATATTTTCCGGATAATACATTGTGTGTGATAGATAAAAACTTCTACATAAACGACAAAAATATTTTTCCCATATTTTAATATCAAAATGAATACATTAATTGAAGACTAAAGTTTTTTTAATACAACTTTTAACCATTTTGGGCAAAGACATTCAGATTCTTGATTTCTTTAACTGTTGGATTGATACGGTGAAGGGGAAGAGCGAAGAAGCTACACGTGAGAGCAAGACATCCATTATCTCTGATTCGATAAATTCTTGTGTTTTAGTGGATTAAGAAAAAAAAAATTCCCGAAAAATATTTCGCTGTTGATTTGTATCTCACATTGAGTCCTGTGATGAAACCAACTTACATTCAACCAGTGGATATCCTCTTAGAATCGAAGATGAAACAATAATTTCTCCTCCAATTGATCTGCTGCACTTGCAGGCTAAAGCAAAGGAGACGATACCAAATGTGGTAGCTAAATTTGTAGTAAGGGAATAGAGTAAGCGAAAAAAAACAAGTCTCCATTAGATTCATACGTGTCATTTTGGGGAGGAGTTTAAATATTTTCATCTCTGACTCACACCCTACTTTGGATTAGTCTCATAGCCGACTCAAAGAGTTGAAATTTATAAGAATATCGGGGGGAGTCAACTCGCCTCAAAGAAGTAATTAGGGTTGGATTACCTCAAACAAAAAAACAAAGGAGACGACACTGTGATTTTAAATTTTATGTAGCTTCTTTCATTGATAATTTGGTTAGATTGGTGAGCATGGAAACTACAACTTTCATTGCATTAGATGTGTTGTCTGTTACTTATTTGGTCACACACGGGAGGGATTTTTTGACTCCGATATAAGATTTTGAAATCTTAGTCTCAATTCTAACCGTTGATTTCTCTCTATCTAACAATTGTTATTTATTTAAAATTAATAATTAATTAACTAATATAACTCACTAAACTATAACTATTAATAACTAAATAACTGATATAACTCAATAAACTATAACTATTAATATTTATTTGACTGATATAACTCAATAAACTATAAGTGTTAGCTAGGCAGAAATTAACAGTTAAGATTGACAGTAAGATTGTTAGATGGACGGAAATTAACAGTTAAGATTGACAGTAAGATTTCTAAATCTTACATTAAAATCAAAAGATCATTCTCATATATATATATATGTCGTATTCTGTGTTGCGATGACTCTACTCAGGGCAAATGTTACTTCCTCATATAATACATTGAATAATAATATTTAAATAAGAAAAATGACATACTTATCATTATTTTAAGTTTACTATTGTTATTATCTAATTGGTTAATAAGCCTAAAATAAGGATAATAATAACAGTAAACATATATTTATAAAAATGACACACGATCTATCAAAATCCCACTATATTAAATTGCTAATGTTATGATCATTATTGCACAAAGCAGAGAAGCCCAATGCCACCGATCGTGCAGCTCCATTAAATCACTAAACCAAACTAAAGAATACTATCAATCAACAACTATATTCATTAACATAAAAAGCCACACATTGATGACGAGCATTTGCTTTCCACCTACGAATGTTAATATTAATAGAAGCATCAACGTACATTAAAAATAACACAAACTCGACACATGGAGGAGGCAGAAAGTAGTGGTGCATTTGGCCTTTTCACCAAACGCAAACCAACCCAACTATCATGATGATGGGTTAGCCCTTTAATTTTTTTCAATATCATTATCTTTCTTTATTTGCTTTTTACAAAAATCCAATTTGGCGAGTAAAGGTCCTTGTTCAGTTACAAACCTTGTTGCTATTGATGATGACATTCTCAGCACCAAAGTCAACAACAGTCTTCAACTCCTTAGCGCGAGGCCCACCAAAGCCCATTTGTTCGTCGTGCCCTCTCTTGTGGTTATTTCTTATAGTCTCGTCTTTCAACCAAACACCAAACAGTTTCAAACTGTCTCCTCCACCTTCACCTACCGCATTTTCATCACCACAGCTTCCACGCCGCATGATTCGATCGATCTGATCGGGACCCACCTTCAGACGATCCCTCAGAAAAGCTACCAGCTCATCGCACTGCTTCTTCGCACGTGCCAGCTCCCAGTTTAGCGTTTCGTTATCCTTCTTCAGTTTCTCGTTCTCGCTCGATAAATTCGCGCCCTCAGGAGCTGTTGTCTCCACCGATTCCGGGTTCTTCGAAGACGATGTGGACGTGGAGGTGGACCTCGTTTCATTGCCGCCGGAGTTCGACGGAGAATTACCGTCGGCGCCTGATTTTCCTGCCTCCGGGGGTTGTGCCGACGATTGGGGCACAATTTTTCGGCGTTTGATCTCGGAGAGGAGCTCCTTCTGCCCTCGCTTAAAATTTTCATTCGCAAACTCCCATTTGTCTGGGGCAATCTTACGAAATCCCTGTTTAAAAATAAAGTGGAATTTATTGAAAAAATGAGCCATCGAATTCTTAGAATTAAAAACAAATCGAAGACAAAGATTGAAGCAAACACCAGCAAGGCGAATTTATTAGTCCCTAATTCTAATAATTTTAATAAAAAAAAATTCTATATTTAATATTTATTTTTATCTTTATATGATTATCACACATTAAATATGAGAAATCATAATCATATAAAAATGAAAATAAATATAACCATCGTAAATAAACATAATTGACCTTACGGCTGGTAGTACCAAAGATTTTGTGATGTGCTATCTGACAAAGGCCATCAACAATTAAGCATGTAATTAATGATACTTATAATAATAACTATTTCACAAAAATAAAATAAAAACAAATAATTTCATAGGTTATTTAATATGAGAGGATTATAACTATTTATGATTGATCAACATGACGAAGATGAGAAAGAAAAAAATATAGAAAAAGAGAATGGTATAATCATCACCCATGATCGTAAATGATTATATAATCTTTTCACATGAAATGAAATAGTCATCTTACAAGAAAAGCACGTCAAATCTTTTTCTAAAATAAAACAGTTTAATAATTATTTTAATTGTCCACAAAAAGCATTTGCATTTTTAATGGTCACAAAAACTCATTTAACTCTTTATAACCACTAAATTGATGTTTTAATAAATATTTACATTTTTCCCCCTAAAATTTTAAAATAAGATCAATTGAACTAGGACCAATGTTATCCAATTATAAAAATGTATTCTATGTGGGAAAGTCCAAAGGCGGAGTAAAGAGATAACGGTTTTTTCTGTGTGTGTATGTGGCATCTATATCCTTACCCAATACCCAGTCTATTTACTTATTTGAGAAAATTGTAAACAAAAATATTTTTTAAGATTAAAAAAATAAAAAGTATGCATCGCTATTTGGTTTCACTGTCTACGAGGCTTAACGCAACAAACTCGCATGGGAAATCATCGAAATCAAACATGCAAACGTAAAGAGAGGAAACGCTTATGCTTATGCGACTAAAAGGAGAGGGAAAGGGGCAACATACATAGGTGTTGAGCTGGCGAACAAAGCTGGAGAAGTTGTTGTGCTTAAAATAATTGGGAAGCAAATCCTTTGCAAATTCTGCATGTTTCCACACCACAAAAGTGTTTCCCCTCTCACTCCATGATATCACCTCGTCCGTCGCCGGATCATCCACCAACTGATAAGTTTTCGACAAGAACGGCGCCGGCACCGACCGCTGCGACATTTCTTCCCGATCTGCCCTTCACCTACCTCACAAATCTTTTCTTATTACAATTATTCCCCCCCAAAAAAAAAACAAAAACCGTTTATCTTGTTTAATCTTATGTACTATGGAAAAGAAAAAAAAAACAGAAAAAAAAAATGTATAAGAAACAGCTTAGGAAGAAGAACTGAATAGGAGAAGAGCGGTCAAGAATTCCCAATCCCAGCAATAGAAGCCAAAAAGAAAGAAGCGAGAGTGAACTAAGTTTTCGGAAGGCTTTCTGGGACAATCAGAATCCATTGGTCCAAACCAGAATAACGGGATCTTCCAAATCATTTTGGGCTACAAATACCATAACTAGCTCCCCACACAAAAGGAAAGTGAAATCATATGAGTATTATTTTCCTTGGACGGGACTCTTATAATCACGCAACCAAACTTATTCCAACCCCCAACTGACGTGGCTTCTAGAATTTTTTAGAAGCACTTAAATCAAATGTTAATTTGGACCAAACGAAACCGATTCCACACGTACACACATACATAACAGTTTAGACTTTAGATAACGAGGAGACCTTTTGTTTGGAAGCATTCTATTGTATTCGTAGCAATATTATCCTTAGAAATGTTTTTTTAACATTATTTTAACTTAAAAAATATAATAATAAAAAAGTTAAAGTTCAATATCATGTTACAAAATGAACTTTTTTTTCTCATGTCATTTAAACTGTAACCTAACTTTTTTTCAAGGTAAAAATAAAATTAAACAAAATACTAAAATTTTACCCTTTTTAAAAAATAATAATAATACCATCCTTAAAACAAAGGCGCCTTAACAGTGGATAGGGAGGTGAGAGAATTACACACGCTTTTCGCAAGGGTCGTGCTTGTTTTTTCTACATACGAAAACTGTTTTTTTATGAGAAATTTTCTAAACGGAAGCTTCTAATTCATTTCCGCGTTGAAAAGCTGTCCTTTATTTATAATGATATAAGATAGTGCGTTTTACTTTTTTTTTATGGACGGACGCGTGTGTTTTGCATTATTTGTTTTTACTTTTTCCTGGAAAGGAGAAAGAGAAAGAATAAGTACAAGAACAAGCAGACGAACCATAATGGGAATGAAAAAGAAGCTGAGCAAAGAGAGTGAGGGGGCTTTTTCTTTGCGCTCACCTAACCCATCCCCATTTCTTCATTGCTTTCATTTCATCGTTATCGCAGTTATTTGATTTTATAGTTATATTCCTTGTCATCTTTCATCAATTGGTCGCCCCCTCTTGTTTGTCCATTTTCTTTGCTTTAGACCTTTCTGGCTCTTACGACCGCCCAACAATTATGTTTAAAAAAAGTATGGACATTGGAAGCAAAAAGAAGACTAACGCTATGCATATGTCTGACTTTTTTTTTTTTTTTTTGGTATAACATGGAGGGTATCTCATTCAACCTCTTCCGGAGTGATTTTGTTCTCGGAATACGGATTAGACTAATCTCCCTTCGAGGACAGAGACACCTGACCCCCAAAGATTTTTCAAGAATTTGCTTGAGACAGAGTTTGAACACCTGACCTAAGCAAATCCTCGGAAGCTCGGTTGACCCAAACATATGTTTGACTTTTATTTGTCTTTTACATAATTTGGATTTTTATTTTATCTCCTCTCAAATTCCTCTATGTAGTAAAATAATGGGATAATTGGAGTTAGCCAGTTAGGAGATGTTAAAAATATATATATAGTTTTCACGGTTCAGTTACATGTGTTTCCGGTCAAATTAGCCTCGAATTTTTGTCAGTTCAAGCAACTCCACTAAAGAACTATATATAAAGAAGAACAATTAATACCTTTATAGCTAAGTTAATTGCTTGTGGTTTACCCGCCTTATTCGAACCACGTATGTATTGAAGTAATATATAAATAGCACAGGAGTTAATCAGTCTAGTTGCATGATGGATATGTTGTGACAAAACATCTCTCTCAGAAATTTATAATATAAGATTGTTTTTTCATGCTGTTCTACTTCTTCTTTTTAATTAACTTTGACTAATTCAAGCTTGTCCTTAAAATTATGCTTTTCCTTTTTACCATTTGTGCATGTCAAACTTAAGAGGTGTCCATCATTATTTCAAAAAAATTGCAGTTAACTTAATCACAACAATTTCCAGTCGCCAACTTGAATCAAGTTCAATTGTGTGTGGTCAGGTTCTACTTCTTTTGAATTTGGACTGATCACACGATATTCTATAGGTTGTGGTGAAGGTCATAAGTTTCCAAGTATCGAAATTAAGTATATAGAAATTTAACAACTCTGAAGATATATATTTTACAGAAAGAGCTCTAGGAATAACTTTCTCACCGGAGGTGTAGCGCATCTCACGTTTACGTTTAACTGGTAAAACTGAAGAGCACTCGAGCAATGCGCATGTAAAAAAATAAAAATAAAAATCAAAGCATCGAATAGCCGCTACTTCAATAGCATTTATGTTGAAGTCAAAACGTCTTAAGTCAATTAGGACATGTGTATTTTTTATGGAAGTCACTTTCAATTCGGAAAGCCATGCATAGACGTTAAAAATTGAAACTCGGGGCTACATAGAGATGTGAAAGTGGATCATAATTCCTATCTGGTTTAATTTAGGTGGATCAACTCGTTTAACAAACTAATTAGGATGAATTGAGCTACCCCGGTTGTTCATTTTTATCTCAACCTATATACTTCGCGAATTAGCTCATGTTGACAGCTTTAGGATTGGATTATTTTAAGGGGAAAACATTTCTACAGTCACTTTATATAAATGGCTGTAGAAACAGCTATAGAAACACTTTTAATTCTGGCGGTAAAAACATTTTTCCCTTATTTTAATTAGGGAAAAGTTTAACAACCCAAAAAAAAAAAAGTGGCTGTAGAAATAGCTATAGAAACACTTTTAATTGTGGCGGTAGAAACATTTTTTCCTTATTTTAATTAGGGAAAAGTTTAACAACCCCCCACCTTAAAGTTTTGATGCTCTAAATCACTTATGCCCTTTTTTTTTTAATTGTTTATCCTTTATGATTTTTTTTCATCCAACTTCATTTTTAATACTGTTCTGAACTTAATTAATCTACCAGTTTTACTTTTCTTAGAAGAAGAAAATAGAAGAAAAAACAAGAGCAAATATATTGAAAACTTAAAAAGTTGTCAAAGAAAATAATTATTTCTTTAAAATAAATTAATCCAAACATGCACTAATTCAGTTATTTAACTAATCAGATTATATTCTTTCTTTTATCAATAAAATCCAATACATATAATATGGATCCCATACATATAATACGGAAAATGCTTGATAACAATAAATTTTTTGCCAAAAAAATTTGGTGTTATTAGCGATTTTATATATTGATAAATAATTCCTCACCACTTTAACTTATTCAATTACTATTTTTAATTTTCGTAAGTTCTAAATAATTATGTCTTTCCTTTGTCGACTACAAAAATCTTTGCACAAAAAATATTTAAAACTAATTTTTTTTATTGTAGTACTAACTTCATTTTAAATTGTCTATTGAATATAATTACATAATGATTAGAAAGAATACACAACTATTATAGAAAATTATAAAACATTTCAAAGCATAGTGAAAGACGTATTTGAAACGCATGAAGAAAAAATCGACCCAGAAGTTTGCGACTAGCTAGTTTGAATGGAAAACGACCTATTATTCTTTTGATGTTTATACCTGCGGCGGCAGCTAACCACCGCTGTACGTTGTATCTGAATTTCAGATTCATTCTTTCAACTTATTATTCTTATTGCTACAAATTTTCTTCCTTATTTTGTAATAATCGCACTATCCTACGCTTAAGAAGATTTTTGAGATACCTAAAGTGTATGGCTTTGAAATTTGTCTAAGTCATAAATAAATTCCAGTTATTAAATGTGTAGTTTTTAAATTACAAGCAATCACCATCACTTTCAAGAACGAAGGAAAGGACAGATGGCATGGCCCCCAAACCAATAAACCATGATATCTTATTTGCTATCCCCGCAAAAAAGTTACAGACTTTACATATGATCCAAAAAATATATAAAAATATATTAAAATATAACTGATAATGACAATTTTAATTATTTGCACTACAGAAAATTATACTTTTTGTGATGGCAAAAATTGTCACTGAAGAATATAAAAATCGTCACAAGAACACTTTTGTGACGATATTTTATTTCGTCAACTTTCGTTACTAATGCTAAAGTCACTGTTAAATTAATGACGATATTTTTTGATGACACTATAAAAGGTATTTATTGTGATAAAAAATTATGTCACGAATATTTGTAAATAATAATGACGCAAATAATTTGTCACAGATATTTATAACATTAATGATGATTTAATTGTCACATTATAATAATATCTATAATGACAAATTATTTGTCACTATTATTTTAGAAATAGTTACCAAATTTTTTGTCACTGTTATAAATTTCTTAAAATGATTTATAATTCTTATTATTCAAATTTATTTGGAATTGTGACATCTATTTTAGTTGTAGACAGAAATGATAGCAATTGTTATTTAAAAAATAAACCTTCAAATAATTAAAATCTAACATTTAAAAATAAATTATCCATTACATATATTTACTTACAACAACTAAAACAAACAAAAAATATTCAACAAAGCTCCCAAATTCAAATACCTATAAATCAATGACAACAAACACCGGAGAATTCTTAAACTAAAAAAAAAAACTAAATGCCTAAAATGATATTAAAACAATCATAACTTCAAGAATTTTGGTCCAGCAAATACAAAAAACAATATATTAATCATAATAAAAAAATCAATAATTCTTTTTAAATGTAATCTAACAATAACATGTCATAGTAGAGATAATAATAAAATTGAATTCTAATAACAAAAAAAACGTACCTTGTTATTAGGAACATCTAAGCCACTAGACAATCCATTGAATGATAATCCTCCCAATAAAGCACTCATTTGACGTTTCATCTCTTTTTCAATGTCTTGGCTTATTTGCTCTTGTTGGTTTTCCATAGCTGCACGTTGACATTGCAAATTTGATTGAAGTTGGACGTTGGCCTCTTCTTGTTTTTTTGTGATCTCAGTTAACTTTTGCACTTCTAACTCTAAATCATTGGCTCGCTTTTCTGCAGCCTCAACTTGAATTTGAATAAGTTGCTTGTGTGTAAACTTTTTTGTTACCGCTGAAGTACCTACACCCAAGGAATGATTTGGTTTTCTTCCCAATACCATTGCAAAGTGTTCTACCAGTGCGATAGGTGCATTTGAAATTTCTTCTTGATATACCTCTCCAGTAACCTGTAATTGCTCCTAAAAGAATAATAATATAAACAAAAAATTTAGGATATTATATTTTTCACTATGGCATATATTT